ATATCGATGGGACAAAGCTTTTCAATATACTTCTTCTGATCCATCTCAATATAGTGAGCCTTTTGTCGAATTTCTAGACCAAGGTAGGTGAAAGCAGATTTTTCTTCAATCTTTATGAGGAATTCAGATTTTACTTTTGTCATTACTTCTTCAAGAAACTTCGCAGATCCAGCATACATGAAATCGTCGACATGCAAGGCAAGGACCCCTGCAAGGTCTCCATCCTTTCTCCAGTAAAACACAGCAGGGTCTTTCGATTTCACACCATCAAAATCAATTAAACAATCAGCAACTCGCTGATACCACTTGAGACTGGCGTCTACTAGCCCATAGACACATTTTTTAAACTTCCATATTACTTCTGGGGTAACTTTTGCTTCTTTAGGAGGTTTCATGTACACAGTTCTCATCATGTCGTTCCCTTGCAAGAAAGCAGACTTAATGTCTAATGCTTGTACAATCCAGTTCTTTCCCGCAATGATGGCAAGAAGTAAACGAAGACTCTCTTTGCAACAAGTAGGGGAATCACTTATGATGGACGATGTATCCTCAAGAAATCCCCGAGCAACTAGTCTAGCCTTTTGTTGTATCGCCATTCTGTTTACATACCCAAGTACTTGTGATAACTTTCCTAGCATCTAGCTCTTCTATCCGAACTTCTTCATACACCTTGTTAGTTACCCACGAACTCAGTTCTAACTGCTTTTCAGTTGCATAGTCATCCAATTGAACAGCATAGACATCTTCAATTGGGTCGAAATCAAACTCATCACCATCATCTTTGTTCAGTACAGTGAAGTCATCGATGGTAGATACATCTATAGATATGGTTTCATTTGTCTCTTTAACATGAACATTGTACCAATTCTTATGTTTACCATTAGCCCTCCCTGCTCTTGACAATACAACAGCCTCATACTGTGTCCCATCATCAACAAAGATTATTGTTGAGCCTCTCTTAATGGCAGTTGGCTTGTCAATCCTTTGATCCTCCTTAGTACTGACTGTGTTGTTAACTAACTGCGAGACTTGTACATTTTTCTCAGCTATTTCAGTCAAACTCGTAGGTGACGCAGCTTCGATTTCAGCAGGACAATTAACTTCAGCTACAGGGTTTGTAGAAGGCTCTACTTCAACTTCTTGGACTGAACCATGATCACTAGAACAGTCAAGATCTGGTATTCTAAGCACACTTGCTTCTTTGATAGACTCAATATCCTGAATTGGACCATTTGTACTATCAGATTTAGATTCATAGGGAACCTGGTCCTTCAAAAGAGAGATCCTGCTCTGATGTACTCTTGTTACAAAGCTTCCTTGACGAAGAAATACCACTGTACTATCTTGTCCTATTACTGTTGCAGGACCCTTCCACTTGTCTGATCCCACAGCTTTGTAGTAAACTTTACTTCCAAAGGTTACAGGTGCTGTGTAAGTTCTCAGTGGCTTCTTCAAAGCCTTCATTATCCTATTGGAGCTTTCACAGCTTAGAAACATCCTTCTAGAAGCATTCATAGCATTAATATGACTAGCGACTACTTTACTTGACGTTTCATTCTCAAGAGCAGGTGGACTTGAGTTGAGGATATTGGGCAGGTATGTCTGTGTCCCAAACATGAGCTGATTGGGTGAGAAACCAGCAACAGTACTGAGTGAGTTTTTTGCACTACACGCCCAGCTGAGTATGGTATCAACCTTAGTATTTGGAAATTCTTTAACCAGTTTCAGCATCATCAAGGAAATTACAGCATTATGCCGCTCAACTATTCCATTTGAGAAAGGACTATAGGCAGCAGAAGTCTTATGCTCAATGTTGAAATTCTGTGTCCAATCTTCAAACTCTTTGGAACAAAACTCTCCACCATTGTCAGAGAATATCAATGAAGGGCACCCAAAAACGGATATCCATTTCTGACTGAGAACATCAATAATTTCACTAGTCTTCTTGGACCTGACAATCCCAGCCTGACTAAACCGTGAGAATTCATCAATGATGTGCAGGTAGTACAAATTATTATCCAGCTTGTGCAAATCAATGGCAACTGATTCATTTATTCCTCGAGCTCTTGGAAATGATGTGCATGGTTTAGCAGGAGCCTTCTTGTAAACTTGACAGATCTCACAAGTTTCAATGACCTCTTGAAGGACTCTAAACAAATCTACATCTCCCAAACCAGCATCACTAAGTAATCGCCTGAGCTTGTCATATGAACCATGTCCCAGCTGACAATGAAGCTTTTTCACCGAACCTTTGTCCAATTTCTTTTCGACAAACTGGCAGACATTAACGGTAGCTGCTTCTTCAAAGTGGTCTTAAAATGTATCATCAATCTCAATGTGAGGCAACATATCAATCATTATTAGACCAGTGGAGGTGAAAGAAGTGGGAATGTCCTTCCCAAACATACTAACACGGTTGTTGACCATATCAATGACAGTCTCAGTATTCTTCATAGTCTCTTGACTAATTAAAAGAGGTATATCATCACTTACCACATCACATTTTAGATCAAACAACTCACCATCAAGATCCATTGGCAGAAGAACCTGTTTTGTTGCTCTGATAGGGTCACCATCACCAAACCTATACACAGACGAAGAAGGAGAGGTTTTGAGAACAACTTTGGACTTTTTCACAAAATCCTTCAACCATAATTCACCACACACTGTTTTGGAACAACCAGTATCCAAAATAGCATTACCAAATGATTCAGCAAGGTAAATAGCTTGGGGTGAGGAATACTCTTTGGTGAAATATTGGAGTTTCACCTTCTCTGTAACTTTCTCCAGATTTGGTTCACTTTCCAGCTCTCCCTGGACTGAGCGTGTAAAGAAGGATGGTGCACTTTTGCGAGGGCATTCTCGCACCAAATGATACCTTGAATCACATATCAAACACAACATTATATTCCCATACTTGTCCTTTCGATTTATGTACTTGTTCTTGCCCTGATGTTGCTGCTGATTACCGTTCGGGTAATACTGTTGACCCCTATCAAGATTCTAAAAAAAGTGCGATGAGATTGGATTTTGACACTAAAAGTGCGATTTTCACGTGTCACACGGTGCAGTGGCGAAATGTACTCCCCACCCCCCCCTCCCCTAGCCTGCAAGATTTCTTGCCCCACAAATTATTTTCTATTTAAAAAGATTTCGCGAGTCCCTTTGTAAGCGAAAAGTATGTCACTGTTCATGTTATTGGATCCATAAATAACGAAAAATTTACATGCGTATTTTTATGAATTATATTATGTTACATATTGTTATTATGGTATGCCTGTCGTAGCACGATGGTTTAGGGCGCAGTCGCCAAGCAGTAGATTTCGGTTCGAGTCTCGTTAGCGGTCATTCTTTTGGCAATTATTAATTATTTTACTAAAATTATCATCAGAGCACCTTGTAAAATACGTTATCCGATAGATTATACTGTTCGTACTTCATCTAGAGAAGACTAGCATTTAAGGATTTGTCCGGGGAAGGCCTCGTTCACACTGGAACATGTCCGATTATTGTAAACGTAGTTATCTGTTAACGGTTTTTTTGTTTATGAAAAAAAAAAAAAAAAAAAAAAAGTTGAAGAGACCCTTTCTCAAACTTTTAATGAAGAAATTTAAATATTCACTATGCCTATGGCAGTATCAAGTATATTCTGAGAAAGATGGAGTAGACTGTAGCCAGGAATAGTACCTCCTTTAATGGTAACCATGGTAACTATAGTAACCACTGTGAATCTTGATCTTATAACAACTAGTATCCTTTAAGACTTAGACAGTACTGTGAATAAACACGCTGAAAAGCGATGAAAATGCAAGCGCGCGACCGAATATGTAGTGCTGAAAGAGGGTGCCGAAATCTCGCGGAAAATCTCACGATATCGTGAGCCTAGCTATGAGATTTAAACGAAACTCGCAAAAATCTCGCAAAAATCTCGCACGCGTTACGTCGAAGTTTTCACGCTATAAACAAGTGATAAAATACACGTTAAGAGTATAAAATACATGTTAAGTTCCTAATTCCCTCAACTTTTAAGTTAAACTTTTTCTGTTTCCTCATTTATTTACAAATTTTGTGCGATGAGTCTGGCTCGCAATCTCGCATAAATCTTGAGCTGGGACTGTTGATTATTATTTGAGCTGAATTTGTTCCCTGATCTGTAGTTCTGGTTGTTCTTTTGTCCTTGTCTGGCATAGAACGACTCTTGTGTCTCCTGCTTAATTTTGATATCATTTAACCCAGATGTGCTGGTTTTTCCGCCCAAGATACGTTTGATGACTGACTGCATTGAGGCATATTTAATATCAGTGCAAGCAGTCATGATCATTTTCTGTTCATCAGCACTCAAATCCATGGACCTCATCAATTTGAAAGCAAGCACATTATCAGGATAAGTAATGTCAATAGCTTTAGCTTGTTTCATAGCACGGTCAAAACGAATCATAAAGTCTGCGACTTCTTCATCTTGATTTCTTCTTATATCTTCAAAAATAACATACCTTTCATAGGCCATATCATTTTTGTCTTTCTCAAACACAGCATCTAGATGTGTGATTAAAAGCTCCAAACCATTATCTTTGACCATATCTTCTAGGGACATTTCAATTGCAACAGTTTTGTAGTCTCCACCCAAGACCCCAATAACCGTAGGAGCTTGTTTCTTCACCGCGACATCTGTTCCTAACTCCCAGATTTTAATCTCCTTTTTCCATGCTCCATAATCCTCACCAATCCTAGGAGGGCTTTGCTTTGACATTTTCACACTTCCTGCAACCACTGTTAACCTTAGGTATTGGTACCAGTAACTACACCGTTGTTATATGAAAAGGTAGTTAAGAATCGTATCAAGTCATACAGTATCAAGTCATACGCTTATACAGCAAAGCCCTGGGAAATACATAATTAGTGATATAAAGCAACTTAACACCCTAAAACCATTATCGGTTGCGCTTTCACAATATTTTGAATGGTTACAAATTTATTTCATTATCTAATACTCTCATACTAGAGGCTAATATGGAACAGGAACTTCAAGATCAGATAAAAGCCCTTGTTGCAAATGAACCTGGTGTTCTAGGAGCTGTTTGCTTTAACAAGGTAAATTTTATTTTCAAACTTTGGTTTTAAGTTTTAATGATAGCTTTGGAATGAATTGTAAATAATATTTAGTAATATTAATGATAACTGCTCAAAGGTTACTTTTGATTTTAAGATTTGTATTACCTTACTCGGGAATATTATGACTGGGATAAAGTGGTGGGTTTTGGAAAATTCCGCCATATTTTTCCCGGTCATTAATTTTCCCAGTCATTAATTAACCCGCTATAATGTTCCCGAGTAAGGTAAACTAATAGTAATACATTTTGATGGGGGTCCGGACTCTAGGGCGTAAGACTCTAGGGCGTAAGACTCTAGGGTCTTAGGGTTAGGGTTAGGGTTAGGGTTTGGGTTTGGGTTAGGGTTAGGGTTAGGGTTAGGATAAGGGTTAGGGTTAGGGTTAGGGTGATGGTTAGGGTTAGGGCGCCGCCCTAAAGTCTCACGCCCTAGAGTCTTACGCCCTAGAGTCCCGGACCCATTTTGATGCTTGGTGGGTTTTGGAAAATTCCGCCATATTTTTCCCGGTCATTCGTTTGTTTGGGCCCGGACGGTGCCGGTGGTTCTAATGACCATTTACTAAAATACATAAATACAAAATACAATATAGTATAAATATTATAAATTAATTTTCCCAGTCATAAATTAACCCGCTATAATATTCCCGAGTAAGGTAATGCTGTAACATGAAAATACCTGATACTAATTGTTCAGTTTCTCTTAAAATGTAACTAAATAAACTCCTCAGCAAGGGCTTGTGCTCTGCAAAGAAGGCAGTGTCACAGACTCACTAGCGTACAATATTTCTCTCCTAGCAAAGCACAGCGCTTCCCTCGAGGATGCAGGGACAGTTCCTGTCACCTGCATTGAGTTCAGTACCCTCAAAATTGTGATGAAGCAAACAGAAAAAGTGGTGTTTGCTATAATATCTGAATGTGTCTGACAGAGTAAAACGGACTTGGGTATTATGTTCAATGTGGTAATTATTCAAATTCAATCTATTGCTTGAATCTTGTGAAGGAGAATATTTGATTTATGAAATACGAGCAAATCTGAATATGCTTGATAATGCAAGTTATTTTAATGACTGATTGAAGAGCAAATCAATTCAATTGTCAAATTAATTATGTCTTAGATTTGTGCTATTAATTATAGCTATTAAACAAAAAGCTTCAATTTCCAAAATGTATCAATCGAATAAACCAATAATTGAATATAAACTTGTATAGTAGTAACTAGTAAAGAACTAAATGCAGGTAATTGTTAAACTTTAACCTTTAAAATAAGTTTTCAATGTAACCTCCATGAGCCAGGGTTTTTGTTTACGTTTTTGCAGATGATTATTGATTATGTGTACAGCGAAAAACATGTTTTGTTGTGTTTGGTTCAGCTTTAAAAAATTGACGTTGCTATAATATTTTGATTTAATACGTTGTATGATGTTTCATTTTTTGGTAAATCAAAACATTTAATCAAGACTCAAATATTTGAAGTAACTGAAGTTACTTCTTCAAAGTTATTACAATCAAATTCTACTAAACAATTCAACAATATTCGAACAATATCGCTTTGTTTTCAATCTTTTGTAGCTCTTTACCTAATTGCAACTCTGTTATTAGCCAGTACTTTGATGACATTATTGGGGGATGAGAGGAGTAACTTGTCTGCTAAGAAGGAGACATGCAATGAGAAGAGTAATCTTGTAGATAAGGAGTCGAACGAACACAATGTGCATTCTGATGTTACGGGTATGTTGTCTCTGATCATGATGGTGTTCTTTACATCCCGCATAAGCTAATTTAGATCATAGAATTCCAATTAACAAATCGTGAATCCAAGAAGCCCGACACGATAGCGGGGTTCTACTATCTCGATGCGGGAAAAAGTTAATTTCGGTTTACTACTATCACGTGTTTAACAAAACTGTGTCACGTGTTTAACAAAACTGTGTCACGTGTTTAACAGGTCTGTGTCACGTTTTTAACAAAACTGTGTCACGTGTTTAACAAAACTGTGTCACGTTTTTAACAAAACTGTGCCACGTGTTTAACAAAACTGTGCCACGTGTTTAACAAAACTGTGTCACGTGTTTAACAAAACTGTGTCACGTGTTTAACAGGTATATCTCGTCAGGAGGGGAAGGGTCGAGAATGGTGGTAGGGTTGACTAATCTGGGCAACACCTGTTATATGAATGCAGTTCTACAACTCCTCTTCTCTGTTCCTAGTATTAACACAACTCTTGCTGGTTTGATATTACCTTTTAGTTCAACTATTTTAGGTCCTCCGGTAACAATTAAACAGTTATAAAAATTGAAATGTTAAATTACATTTTTTCACCCAAAGTATGCCGGAGTCTATAAGTTTAGCCTCAAGTATTCACCTGAGTTTTTGTCCTGACAAAATGTTAAACCTGTTTTTCGACAGCGGAGGAGAAGTTGCAGAGTACTGGCATAGGACGTGAACTGATATCATTGATAAAGAAAGCAGCCTCTGGAAACTTTATACAGCTGAACACTGGTCAGCTTAAACACGAGATTGGACTTACTTATTCTAGATACATGGGATACAGACAACACGATGCACACGAACTGCTTATAGGTAACATTTGGCCACCGAAAAGTGGTTATTATCTTTCACCATTTCTCCGAGAAAATAGATTCAAAATCAAGAAACAAACTCACCTCGCCTATTGTTAATGTTCAAGAAATTTATGAGTATGAGGAATAGCTTTTAGTGTCAGTAAATGTTTTCACTCTACTTGTGCATGTGGATCCAACTTCGTCGCACCAGATTGATAACACATTATTTCAGAGTTGTTAGATCACCTTCACGAGTGTCTCAAATGTGAGGAGAAACCCTGTGAAGAGGGAGTACCTGCTGATAGGTGAGTTGTACAGTAATACCGACTGATAGGTGAGTTGTACAGTAAATCCGGCTGATAGGTGAGTTGTACAGTAGTACCGGCTGATAGGTGAGTTGTACAGTAATACCGGCTGATAGGTGAGTTGTGCAGTAATACCGGCTGATAGGTGAGTTGTACAGTAATACCGGCTGATAGGTGAGTTGTACAGTAGTACCGGCTGATAGGTGAGTTGTGCAGTAATACCGGCTGATAGGTGAGTTGTACAGTAATACCGGCTGATAGGTGAGTTGTACAGTAATACCGGCTGATAGGTGAGTTGTACAGTAATACCGGCTGATAGGTGAGTTGTACAGTAATACCGGCTGATAGGTGAGTTGTACAGTAATACCGGCTGATAGGTGAGTTGTACAGTAATACCGGCTGATAGGTGAGTTGTACAGTAATACCGGCTGATAGGTGAGTTGTACAGTAATACCGGCTGATAGGTGAGTTGTACAGTAATACCGGCTGATAGGTGAGTTGTACAGTAATACCGGCTGATAGGTGAGTTGTACAGTAATCCATTTCAATGCTGTTAAATTCTAAATTCGCACTAAACATATTATTCGAATTAAATTCGCATACGAATTTTTCTCTGAAAATTTCCGCATTTAAAAAAATATACCAACAGGAAATCACTTGCCCACATCAAAATGTTCACTATAGTTGGCTTTGTATGGTGGAATATTGCCAAAACATGTGTTTCCCGAAACACATTCGTGGTAACTGGTTAGTGACTAGCGTGGGTACTGACCAAAATCGCAAGGGGTTAAATTTAGCTCATACCCGAAGACGTTATGGAGTAAATTAACTTCTCTTAATAAACTTGAAAACACTTAATTACCTCCACAGTCTAGTCTACGTTTGTCGAGAATCGAGATTTGTATGTTTGAGATTTGAAATTGAAGTATAACGTCACAATTCACATATCCAACTAGATCAGAGACTCGAGAATGCTGCGCGCTCCCACAGCCGCATTTTTACCGAATTTTTCGCGCATTTAACAGCCTGGATCCATTTATTTATCAATTAGTGAAGTTTTTTACCCAACACCAGGGATTTCGTGATGGATACTAGTATGAGTGGGACGTTTGTAGCCCGGAAGGAGGAGAATGGTTTCAACACTAACACCTTCTCAACAATGAACATAACACCTCCAAACATTCCCAACATAGCAGACGAGAACTTGAACAGGTATCGAGTTACTATCTGATATGGGGGGAGGGGGTTATCACATTTTCTTCCTGATGATGTAAATATTTTCAATCTGTCGAAGCCTTTTAACGATATTTTTATTTTATTGCTTGTCTTTGAGCGGCCGCAACTAGATTGATTAATCTAGTTACCTCGTACCGTCTGAAGATTTATATTGGGGCTCGATAAAACGGACAAAAGAGCACTGAATGGGGGAGGGGGGGGGGGGGGGAATGTGTCCAACAAGTTATTAATAGTGTGTTATTTAGTTATTTATGGAATAAGGTATGTTCCTTGTGACAGAAGCTTCGTCAAAATTCAGAATGACAGTTGATTGTTTTATTGATCTGAAGTCTTGAATCAGTTGTGGGACACAGTTGTGGGACACAGTTGTGAGACACAGTTGTGGGACACAGTTGTGGGACACAAGGTTCCGATTATATGCTTATACGAAACGAAAAAACTTTGTTGCAACGATATCCCGTGAGAGTCGAGGCTTTGCAGTATAACTGCCACAAAATGTAGGGTATTATGATGGAATCAAATAATGGCGCACACATTTGAGCAGAAAGTATGGCCGGCCTATTCGAATCTCCATCTAATGTCCTTGAAAAATGAAATGAAAAAGGTCAGGCCTTCTTTTTTTGTTTTTTGACAAAACAAAACCGAATAAAAGTAAACCATGCCATTAAATATGGCTGTCTCACTTACAAAATATTAGCATATGAATAATTCATAAAGGATGTATCCGAGACGACATAATATTGGCATTATTCAGCTTTTGGACGGCCTGGAGGGTCTACTTAAGAAAAACTTGGACGCTGCGAAGATCTAAATAATCGCTTTTCCGCGCAAATAAACGCAATTCATGCGCGCGCGCGCACTTAGCTCAAATTTATATAATTTGTTCCTGTCCGGCGGCCGACTGCTTTCTGGTTTTAATTTGAACAAAAAGGTTTCCGGGTTTTAGATTGTAAAGCCACCGGCAAATCATACCATCTGACACACTAATCTAACTTCTGATATTTATTCTTCATTTCAGTCTGTCCATAACGCCACAGAAAGGTAGGGTACACGAGAATCTGCCAATAAACCTGATGGAGGATCGGCACATGGATACTACTTTACATGAGAACATATGTCACAACATCGCTACCAGTAAACCGACCCTGCACGAAAAGGAGTTCTCCTTGATACCTGAAGGCAGCAAGAATACAGATATACCTCTTTGCAATCTGCCTGTCCTGTCGCCAACCACAGTTACGGCATTTAACGTTTGTTCTGTTTATACTTCTCTATCATTCCCGACTTATCTGTAAAAATTCTGCTTCCTCAGTCTATTCTATTTGTGTGTCATTTTATTTGGCCTCAGCTAAACTACCCCTAAGCTCTCATCTATAATATTAAAACACTCACCCTGTTTCTCAGTTGGAAGGGGACGAGGACTGCAGTAGGAGTGTTGACAGTAACACAGCGATACAAGGCTCCTCCGACCTCGCCCACCATGACCTGGTTTGGGCTGAGTGGGAACAAAACAACTCCTCCATAATCACTGACACTTTCTTCGGCCAGTTTGTAACACACACCACTTGCTGCCACTGTGGTCACACGGTTGCGCATTACGCGCCTTACAACCACATTTCTCTTCCTCTACCTCACGCAACTGACAGACACATTGTAGTGACTTGGATACCTAACTCTGATCATAAAGCATACAGGTTTAGATATAATTCTGTGTTCAATTATACTGATAAGTATAATATGACAGTACTTTCTTGACGAAAGTCAAATAAAAGGAAATACTTTCGAGAAAACCATGGTATATAGCTGACTTTGGCAGGGTAGTGTTGGTTATGTGGCTAACCTGGTGGATATCCTTGCTGTACGGCTAGTTAAACAAGGAATTGAAACTGTGTGACTCCGTGCAGACCAACCTACCTGTGGCTAAAGCTCTAATATACAAAAACAATACATGATCTCTTCTGACACCATATTAAGTTTATAAATTTTTAATTAAAAAAAGTTAAGTTAATAAAATTAGAATATAAAGGCGTTACAAAGGCTCTATTAAACATGATCACATATCTTTAGCAGATATACAATTTCAGGTACCTCGTTGTAGTCAGTCAGTATGGCAGAGTATCAGATCTGAAGAGTGCTGTGCTCTCACTTGTCGACCTTCCCATTACTACAGAGGACATTGTTATAGCCGAGATTTACAGGAGTCGTGTCCACATGGTTCACGGTAACGAGACACTAGTTAAACACGTCAACGACTCCCGCAACTCCGTGTACGCGTTTGAGCGCTATATGTATGAGTCTGACACTAGGAAGGGACAGTGTGAGGATGCGAACTATTTCGAGAACAATCTGGATACTGATTCTAAAACAGATAACAAGTTGAACAGAGAGGTTATCGACGCTAATATCGAGGTCAACATCGATGTTTCGGAAAACACAAAGCAGTTCAAAAACAAGCTGGAATTGTTCAACCCAGAAGCGAAGGTTCGTATCCATTTATTTACTATAAACTAATTACTAAACCTTTGATAAAGATAATTCCCATGCTATAAGCCAATTAAGACTCGTATCACAATCAAGATTCCGCGAATTAGAAATAACAATTTCCTCTAGATAGAGAATAAACCCAAAGAAGTTGGGATGTTGGTTGATTGGAGTTGCTGTGTAATATGTCTGGAGGACTTCCCCCCTCATCTCCTCCTCTCCCATGAAAACTGCAACATGGTCAGTTCCCGACTCATTTGCTAGTTATATAATCACTAAATATTACGTACCTACCACCTAGCTGTACAGCGTTACATTTTATAACAATCCCTGATAACTCGCTCCTTAGACAATTTGCAAGGAGTGTTACGACTCGTACAGGGAGTCCGACACGAGCTCACAGTGCCCAGTGTGTAAGGAGCATATGAAGGAGCTCCATCCTGCAGGATCTGAACATACCAGTGCAGTGCGGTGGACTCAGACTCCCCTCCTTATTTCTTATAATGATAACGTGAGCATTTTAAACTTCTGTCACTGAAAACGTGGAATCTTTCAGTTCAAATGTTGTTGATTTTACCAAATACATTTGCCAAGGTGTGTTTGGTTATTATACGGTTCGGTTGGGGACTGGCCCGTGGTACCAGCCAATGTTTACTCAAAAAAATATATATAATATCAATGGTAATAAGAAATTCATCCCCGTGGGGCACATGCATAAATATAAAATGTAAAGGAAATCTCAAACTATTCAATTTAGACTCTACCGGTAAAGTATGCAATGAAGGTTTATAATTTAAAGTTTTATTTTCCAATGGTTAATAGGTAAAGATAAGAAAAGTAAAACAAGACTGAGCACTTCAAAATTTGTAGAATTTGTAACTTGATTTGAAATCGCGGCGATAAAAAAGAATGTCCTATGTTGGCAGTGTAATTGATGAGATATGCGACGTTTATTGAGTGATGCATAAGTGTGTGCATATAATCTAAGATGTAGAGACAAGGTTATTATCGGCATTTTGGTTTATGTTACGCTTTGATTTTCTTAGTCCTGTTATACAATATAACATGAAATTAGGCCAATCGTCTTCGATGTTTTCATTTTGCTGATCGATGAGCATAGTTTTTATACAAGTTTTGTAAATGTTCAGGTTAAATAGACTAGGCGGGGAAGTTGCTGCAACATTATATCGGTTTATTGCTAATAATGGACCTTTAAAAAATACTGAGTTGTTGTAAGGGTGTTGACCATACTTTTCTGACCATTGTGTAGTGAGAATAGAATCCAGGTTAGTATTAAATAATGGTGCGCTTTTGGGAATTGTTTTCTTGAGAGACAATGGTACTAGATTAGGAAAGTTTTTCAATTTATGCATTAAAATGAGTGCGTTCTTTACAATGATACTGTGTACTGTCAATATTTTATGTGAATAAAAGCCAGACTTGGTACTTGCTGGGGGGATACCGTCCTTGTACCAGTAATTGACGAAACCAGGTAATACTGCTCGAAGGCCCATTTTCTGTTTTACAAAAAGCGATTCAATATGAGACTTGGCAGCAAAACCCCATACAAGGCTGCAATAATTAAGGTGTGACTGCACAAAACTTTGATAAATTTGAAGACGTGCTTCGAGAGGCAGATATTTTTTAAGTTTGTACATGACTCCTATGTATCTGGACATTTTCATTTTCATGGCAGAAATATGATGGGACCAGTTTAGTTTATCATCTATTATAACTCCTAAAAAACGGGCTTCTGTTTTTCTCTCAATTGTGACACCAGAAATTGCCACATCACGATAATTAAGATTTCTTTGTCGAGAGAAGATCATATAATTTGTTTTCTTAAGGTTGAGAGCTAAACCATTATTATCTACCCACTTAACTAAAGCATCGCTAAGAGTATTTAGTTTATCGTAAACTTCATTAAGATTTTCTCCTATCAGGAAGATGTTGGCATCATCTGCGTACATAATGAAATTGGCTATACCTGATATTTGAGGCAGGTCGTTTATGTAGATTATAAAAAGTAAAGGTCCTAATATTGACCCTTGAGGCACGCCGTATAAAATTTGGTTGGTTGAAGATTTTGACGTGCCAATTGATACAAACTGTTTCCTGTTAGTGAGATATGACTTAAACCAGTTTAAGGCTTGACCCCTTATACCGTAATGGTCCAGCTTGCGCAAGAGTATGGAATGATCCACAAGGTCGAAAGCTTTGCTGAAGTCGATTAAAAGAAGTAAAGTTACCTGCTTTTTAGACATTGAATTAAGAATGGTGTCTTTTGCGTTGAGAAGAGCATGTTCACAAGACCTACCCGGGCGAAAACCGTATTGGTTTTCACATAGTATGCTGTATTTATCTAAAAAACTTATAACTCGGTTATGCATTAGCTTTTCAAATACTTTAGAGAAAGAAGCAAGAAGAGATATTGGTCTGTAATTTTTTATGTCAGATTTAGATCCACCTTTGTGAATTGGGACCACCTTCGCTTCTTTCAAAGCCTGTGGAAAGATCCCCTGTTCAAAAGAACTGTTGACAACGTGGGCTAGTACACTAGTAAAACTGGGACAGCTGTTAGCGATTTTTAGAGGTTCAATTTTAGTGTCTAGTGTGGCTTTATTCTTAAGCAGGTTTATGACGTCCTGAATTTCTGTGGCAGTGACTGGCTTTAAGTAAATACTACTTGGAGTGGCGTTGCGAAGTGTGCTATGGGTTCCACCAGGATCAAAAGTGGTCCTACTACTAATTTCAGACTTAATTTTAGGAGCGATGTTTGAGAAGTAATCGTTAAATTTTTCTGCTACAGCTGCCGGAGTGCTGATTGAGCCGTCTTCGTCAGTCAGTTTAATTGAAGTAGGTTTAGATTTTTTCCTATTAAGAAGACTGTTTATCATTTGCCACTGCTTCTTAGAATTTTCTTTGTTTTGCTCAAAAAATTTTTTGAAGTGCTTGTTTTTAGCTTTATCGATGTGTTTATTACAAAACTTCTTCAGACGGTCATATTTACTACGGTTACTATCAGATGGTTCCTTAACAAAATCATAATATGACTCATTTTTACGTTCTATAGCTTCTTCGAGCCAGGGCAGCATCCATGGTTTCGGATTAACACGTTCATTTTGTCTTCGTGATTGTCTTTTTGTGGGATAGGCAGACTCGTAAATCTTATTATAAGCCGTATTTAAATTATTGAACTGTTCGTTGGCATCATTGGTATTGTTAAAAATTTCTGACCAGCTTTCATCTGTAATTAAGTCTCTGAATTTTTGATTGTTGGTGTCGTTAAATCTACGTGTTTCAGTTTGAGATACATTTTGTGAGTTAGACGCAGAGCGGTAGCTGCTGGTTGGCGTGTTATCAAGATTTATTGTAGTGACTATTGCTAAGTGATCAGACATATCTGTCGTTAAGACGTTACAGCTTATTGTATCCTCAAGATTGTTTGTGTAGATGTGGTCAATAAGCGTGGCACTATGGTCCGTTAGGCGAGTTGGGCGTGATACAATTTGAATAAAACCGTAAGAGGACGCAATATCTATAATGTTCTGACATGCTTGGTCGCTGCTGTGCTTCAGTAAATCAAGGTTGAAATCTCCATGAAGCGTCATATGTTTACGGGTGTGTCTCCCTAGGTTGTGCAGCGTATTTTTGAAAATTTCTAGAAACGCTTCAGGTCTCCTAGCGGGAGAACGGTAAACATTGCCAATTATTTTCGTTCTGTTGTATCCTTTGCACTGATGGAGCTTGATAAATTGGAATTCGCCACTAGTATTAGTTGGTTCAGGGTTTGGAGTGAAAATATCAATTTTATCATAATCGACTACACATTCATCACAATTTATGTAACACAGTGAAATTAACCCACTACCGTCAGCTGATAGGTCACCCCTACCTGATAGAACTGCCCAGTAAAATTGAGGGGACTGCTTTACGCTCCTTTGTATCTGACCTCTTCCCTTTTCCTCTCTCTCCCTCTACTGCCGCCCTCTTCCTAGCTGATGGCACCGGTAATTTGTTTCTTATTTAGTTGTTGTGTTAGTTGTTTGGTTATTAAACTAGATAGCTGACCTTCCAATAAGTTTTGTACCCTAAACGCAAACCACCGATTACCAAGATGACAATATTATTAAAAGCTGATTATTGCAATCGGTTTCATTACCTCTCAATAATCCCTCAGATGTAAAGAGAGAAGTTACAGAAGACGAGGAGTACATGATCCTTGGATCACATCACTTTGTTGTTATACTCGCCCAGTGTCCCTCAGCTTTGGAGGTTAGCTCAAACATAAGAACACTTTATTTAATTATTATATTTGTTCGATTGAAATTCAAATCAGTGATTGGCTTTGTAACTTGGTCTTAGGATTTGCTGATTCTAAAATGATGGTAACTGTTTCTGTTCTGACCTTGACCTATTATTATTATTATTACAGGAACAGTTAACCCATGTCACGGACACAGAGTCGCTGAAGAAACTGGAATTGAGTCTGAAACCTCTAGAACTACAAGACTGTCTTAATGCGTTTGTTAAAAGGTAATTCTTTATACTATACTTGAAGCAGTGACACAGTTGTATAATATAATGTTGCGTGGTATTGTGCCCTAATGTGTGCTAAGTACCCTGGTTGCTAAGTAACCAGGTTACTGACAGTAACCACCTAGTAACCAGTTCACCTAATGGTTCTTTCCCTCCAGTGACGAGTTATGTGCGGGCAGTACCTGGTATTGTACTTTATGTGACAGTGAGCAATCAGCTATAACCTCAACCTCCATCTCACATCTCCCTCCTTACCTTATTCTTCAGCTCAACCGTTTCAACGTCCTCTCAACCGTGAGTTTCTTAATATTTTTTAGTAACTTACTTTTTCTAGTCACTTAGAAACAGTAGAGTTGAAAATTGTACTTTGTTCGAAAATTTACAAGAAGTTTATACTGTACTCTTTCAACCTCAGTCAAAAACATGAATCATGATATAAACTACATCAATTAAAATACCTTTCTTGAAAATTTAAAAATCTTATACTCAGCATGGAACGAAGAAAATAAATGTAAGGAATTAAATACACTTTAAGTTTTCAAAATTTTTTAGAAAAGACAGAAATTATCCACTAATAAATAATATTTTCACCAAAAAGATCATCTCTTTGTGCTTCTTTTTCTTTTTTTTTCTTTCTTTGTCTAGCAATTGTTCTTCGTTCAGCGTTCCATGATGTGTTTACTCTGAAAATGGCAGAGAAATTATTTTGAGATTACGATCAATTAATAAAGAACCAGTAAAACTCTCAAAATATCGTGCATCAGAAACATATCTTTTCAAAAGTAAATATATGGTTAATATTCGTTATTCAATTTAGCTGAACCATAAAATCAAACATTTTACCTTCACACGTAACTTGGTAGACATTTTGAGCCCAAGTACCTCCCCTGCCGTCATATTGACATGCAGCCGACAACCCATATTGGTTAAACGTTTCCGCGGCATCGGCTGAAGTGAAACATTCTCTGTTGGCTTGGACTGCGAAGACAGAGAAGCCTTGTTCCTTGGCGAAGTTGTAGCAGTCTTCAATCGGTGTATCTGAGTTGAATCTGATGCCTCCAGCTATTGCTCTGGTAGGAAGGTCAGTCCAGCAGCCCAGACTCTTAGGACTGCATTCACCTTCAGGATTTGATTATAGTTACAAGTTTCAATGAGAGCTTTAATTTGATATAATAATCTACAGAGTAACTGCACTTCTATCTTTCAACAGACTTTAATCAGAGAAAAAGTTCGTGCCCAGCGTGATTCTAACTGGCCTTATTTTAATAGACTATTTCAGTTTTGGGGAAAAATTTTTGTTCGTTGACTTGTTATCTATAATTAATTTCGTAAGTGAATGAAAGATTGATATTCGTTGTAGCTTAACCATAAAATCAAACATTTTACCTTCACACGTAACTTGGTAGACATTTTGAGCCCAAGTACCTCCCCTGCCGTCATATTGACATGCAGCCGACAACCCATATTGGTTAAACGTTTCCGCGGCATCGGCTGAAGTGAAACATTCTCTGTTGGCTTGGACTGCGAAGACAGAGAAGCCTTGTTCCATGGCGAGGTTGAAGCAGTCTTCAATCGGTGTATCTGAGTTGAATCTGATGCCTCCAGCTATTGCTCTGGTAGGAAGGTCAGTCCAGCAGCCCAGACTCTTAGGACTGCATTCACCTTCAGGATTTGATTATAGTTACAAGTTTTAATGAGAGCTTTAATTTGATATAATAATCTACAGAGTAACTGCACTTCTATCATTCAACAGACTTTAATCAGATAAAAAGTTCGTACTCAACGCGATTCTTACGCGATTCACCATACAAATCTTTTCGTTAACTCGTAATCTAATAATTTCATAAGTGAATGAAGGATTGATATTTATTACAGCTGAACCATAAAATCAAACATTTTCTGAAAATCCGCCAAATTTAACCCGCCACTTTTTTACCTGCAACATTATTTTCACAAAAATTTTGAAAATCCACAGAATTCTACCTGCCATATTCATATTGCAAAACTCTATCCAATTTTCTTCCAGACTGCGTATTTTGTATTTTTTTGCAGTTTCAAAGTAAAATAATATTAAAAATCCATCACCCCACATGACATATATTAGGAACGTTAGTAGTTAGTACGTATCAAACATTAAAACAGCGTTTGTGTAGGCCATTAAATTATTTAATTAAGCCAATAGCAAGGTAAATTATGAGCAGATAAACTTTTTATTGCATTAAAATCAATCTTGAAGGGCTAACCCTGTCAGTGTCCGAGCATGCTAAATCACTCTAAACTCGATTTTCGAGATTTTTCAGTGGCCTTATTCAGATACAAATTTCGTACTCAATGCGATTCTAACGCAATTCGTAATCTATAGATTTTATAATTGAATGAAGGATTGATATTGGACTGCATTCCTCTTCAAGAGAATGCCAATAATTTAGTTTACCTGCGAGTGCAGCCCCCAAAAGGCACACAAACAGAACTAGCTTCATTGTATCCTAATGTAAAGAGAAAATATTAACTATCAAGTTCAACGACAAGAAAAATGTCGAGGAAACGGAAAATTTAAGGAGTTTAAAAGTTCGAAGAAAAGTTTTTCCTGTTAAAATACGAAAAGAAAACAAGGATTAAATGTTATCACAGGATCTAGGTGATTTGGAAATCAACAAAAAAAAAACTCGCGCATGAACAAACGTAGCTTTATTTCCAGAAAACCTTTTTTTAAATTTCGACTCAGAAAATTTTCGGTCCGATTAATTCTCGATACGTACTTCTGATGACAGAGCTCCCGCCTACAAAGATGAGGAAATAAAATAATGTGTAATGTGTTTGGCATAAGGTTAGTTAGGCATAAGGTTAGTGAGGAGTTAATTTATTAAGTGACATTGAATCATGAGATTTGGAACCATGAGAACATTGATCAATTGTTAAGACAATCAATACGGATACGTAATAATAATACCTTAAGAACGACAAATTTAGTCTACCATAAATTTAGTCAAACTTTTGACTAAAATTGTTGTAAACCAAATTTCATGAGACTAAATTTTTTGACGACTAATTTTAAAGGAGACCGAAATTTCAGTAGAGCATATATGACATGACTATTGAATATTATTAAGCTAACATTTCCTACATTGTTTATAGGGCTTTATATTTAATATAATGACATCACCGTTCCTACTGTACAAAACTGTACCAAATTCCTATTGGGTTAGAGCTCCTCTTGGACATTACATTTCCATTCAAATTAATTGAATCATATCGACATAAACTACGTCGTACCGACAGAAATGGTCAAGTTGAAAAGGGGTGAAAAAGAAACTGAACACTGAACATTGTACTGAAGAACTTAGTGATACAGTCCAAACTCTGGATCCGATGTTATTGAAATTCCTGAGTAATGCATTGCAGCTTAATCTGTAATGCTCAGATGGGGTAGACTAAATTTGTCGTTCTTAAGGTAAATGGACCTTTTCGAGACCATTTTCCAAAACAGGTAATTGGTTTTAAAATACACTGAACTAACCAGGTTCACTTTCGAAGCAAGATCTGTCGGCATATTGCCACCCCCAGTATGCAGAAGTTGTGTGTTCTCCAATAATGTAACACGTTGTCACCCTCCAAACGAGTGGACTGATCACAATACCCTCGCATCTGTAAAATTTGCATAGTGATAATTCCATTTATTCAAGTATTTGTTGGCGACGAGCAGACAAGCTGCTATCTGAATTGTCTGGATAAAATTTCACTTTACAGTCCAGATTGGATTATATCATTAGTAAAATACAAATAAAAAACAAACCTGCTCTCAGATAAACACAGCTCCACACAATCCTCCCTCCCAGTATATGTTACTTGTTGTATCACTGAGCCACTGCTCCTTGTGTTGCTCATGAAGCAGGAGTCACTATCTGATTCACCTGATCGTGTATAATCTGGTTCAACGGGTGTTGTGGAATGTGGTTCTGTTGGGTCAGGTCAAAATTATAGTAACCAAAATTATGGTAACCAAATTTATTGTGAACCAAATTTATTGGCCCTAAGGTAGGTGATTTCCATTCAAATTAATTGAATCATATCGACATAAACTACATCGTACCGACAGAAATGGTCAAGTCGAAAAAGGGTGAAAAAGAAACTGAACAGTGTACTGAAGAACTTAGTGATACAGAGTCACAAACTCTGGATCCGATGTTATTGAAATTCCTGAGTAATGCATTGCAGCTTAATCTGTAATGCTCAGACGGGGTAGACTAAATTTGTCATTCTTAAGGTAAATGGAATGGAAAATGGTCTCGAAAAGTCGAAAAATGTGACAAAAATTTTTGCAGACTAAAAATTTGCGAAATTTGTGACTAAAATTATGGTAACCAAAATTATAGTAACCAGATTTATTGTGAACCAAATTTATTGGCCCTAAGGTAACTGTTTTACCTGCAACATTATTTTCACAAAAGTTTTGAAAATCCACAGAATTCTACCTGCCATATTCATATTGCAAAATTCTATACAATTTTCTTCCAGACTGCATATTTTTATTCGATTGCAGTTTCAAAGTAAAATAGTATTCAAAATCCATCACCCGACATAACATAACAATAACATGAAATAAGGTTAAAATGCTCCCCTGGCGAAAAAAAATAATACGTGATATGACCATATACGGAAGTTTGTCGAATTTCTTGTTAAGGTTAGGGTTTTAGAATATGCTTCACTTAGGGATTGGGTTTGGGTTTGGGTTGGTGCAGAGTAGAGGGATAAGGTTTCAAATAGCTGAATTAAGTCATTCAGGGCCACCTAGAGAACGTGTTAAAAAATTCACGTGAAAGTCGAGTGTAGAGTGATTAATCATCATCCCGTCTATTACAAACAAAGCATATGATTTTTTCGAATAAAACCACCTTGTTATGGTTGGAATACCTACAAATTGAGTCCATGACGCTTGTTTCAGTGTAAAAAAGGAACAATAAAATTAAAACATAACTGATTTTAAAAATTTCCTCGAACAAAGCTTTTGACTAGCGGGTTTCTAGTAGAGAATCACGTTGTGCGTATACTCAAGATATAATTTGTTCCGTAGGCAATTCTCTAGCTTAAGTTTAAAACATTTAAAAACAGATCTACTTACCAGCATCGTCGATCCTTTCTATGCAGGGTATGCATTTTAAAGCCATGTCGCCAAAACAACGAGGACAAAGTGGATCTTCTACGCACTCCCCGAAACAGCATTCAGCAGCGCATTCTGCAACTATCGCCGCACATCTGAAATAATTTAGCTACACTCAAATGTTATAAATCTTATGAATAAAGCACCATATATATCAAGATGGCGTAAGCATGACACTTGACGTGCAGTTACAATCGTTAAAGCTCTTATCAAGTATCAATATCACCATAATTATAAACTCACTCAGCAACCGTCAACCATTCACAACCGAGTGCAGCCCCCAAAAGGCACGCAAACAGAACTAGCTTCATTGTATCCTAGTGTAAAGAGAAGATATGCGTGATATTAACTATCAAGTTCAACAACAAGAAAAATGTTGAGGAAACGGAAAATGTAAGGAGTACATGGTTTATTCGTCCCGGAATATTTAAAAGTTCGAAGAAAAGTTTTTCCTGTTAAAATACGAAAAGAAAACAAGGTTTAAATGTTATCACAGGATCTAGGTGACTTGGAAATCAACAAAAAAAACTCGCACAGTTCATATTTATACTACTTATATATAAATCACGCCCTGTAAGATTTGTCTAAATTTCTAAAAGTGAAATATTAATATTATAGCGACGACTAGCAGCAAGGCTGGCTCTGGGGAAGCGTTCCGAAAACTTCTCCAATCGTAATGACGAAGAATTCATCGTCTACAGTCGTATTTAAACCTAAACAACAGCAACTCCAGTAGCAGTTCGATTCCATTTCAAATCGAATCTAATTAAGATGGCAAGACGAGTTAATTTCCGGCTGCGACGCGCCCAATTTGAATTGAACTGATAAAATGATTTTATCGGCTTTTTTCCGAGATTAATTATGTGCACCAGACTGAACGAATTTTTACTTTTATCGAATTATTATTTAAGTCATATATATGTTATGTATATTAAATATATTCCATTTTTCTAAGGAGTAACTGGTCATCTTATCAGTTGATTTATAGTCTGTTCTAGATATAATTTTAATTGGCATTTCCATATTGGATAAATTTCTCATTAAGATAAAGAACGTCTATATTAAAAATGTTCGCGATTGACTTTAAGGCTGAGCCAATATTTTATTCTTACCCTCTTTTTGAAGTCCAGCTCACCGTTGGCATACAAATGGAAGTGTATTTTTTACAAGTGGAAGAGGCGTACACCGCTAAGCCGATCCTTAGTGCTTAGCGGCTATGGGCTAGTTAAGTGAAATGATTGGCTTGCTCAGCGGTAAATCGATCTAAAACAGACTAAAATTAAAATCCGGAATGAGAGGATAAAATATTTGGGGTCAATATCGCTAACTAGTATTAACGACCTACCAAGACGCTTGACCATTGTTAATGGTCTGGCCCGGCGCGCGCTACTTCGAAGAAATTTAGACGAGTAACATCCGTCAACCAAGACGCGCACCGAGTTGCACTCGACTATGGCGGCCGAGATGGCTCACCAAAATTTTCACTGAAAATTTTGAATTAAAAAATTAATTATACAATTAATCGCAAAATAAAAACGATTTTGAATTTGATTTGTAAAATGATTTTAAAATTTAAATAAAAAACGATTTTCATATTGAAATTGAAAACGATTCTCATTTTTGAAACGATTTTGAGTTTGATTTTGAAAACGATTTTGATTTTGATTTTGATTTTGATTTTGATTTTGATTTTGATTTTGAAAACGATATTGGTTTTGATTTAAAAAACGATATTGATTTTGATTTTAAAAACGATATTGATTTTTATTTTGAAAACGATATTCATTTTGATTTCGAAAACGATATTGATTTTGATTTTGAAAACCATTTTGATTTTGATTTTGAAAATGTTTTTTTTTTTTTTTCCGGTGGCGGCCGAGAAGGCTCAGCTAGCTAATTAGCCGCATGGGATTTATGTTCCGGGGTATTTGGAACAGGTTTAGGGGTTTAAATAGTTAGTACCTGTCCCAAACCATCAGAAAAATCAAGTTTCGACCTCCCAACCCACTCAGGCCACTCACAGGGGCCACTCCCATCTAACTATCTTGATTTCAGCTATTTTGGGATGGGCGTGGCCCCTGGGAGTGGCCTGAGTGGGTTGGGAGGTCGAAACTTGATTTTTCTGATGGTTTGGGACAGGTACTAACTATTTTAATCCCCTAAACCTGTTCCAAATACCCCGGAACATAAATCCCATACGGCTAATTAGCTAGCTGAGCCATCTCGGCCGCCACCGAAAAAAAAATAAAAAAAAAAAACATTTTCAAAATCAAAATGGTTTTCAAAATCAAAATCAATATCGTTTTCGAAATCAAAATCAATATCGTTTTCGAAACCAAAATCAATATCGTTTTCAAAATCAAAATGAATATCGTTTTCAAAATCAAAATCAATATCGTTTTTAAAATCAAAACCAATATCGTTTTCAAAATCAAACTCAAAATCGTTTTAAAAATGAGAATCGTTTTCAAAATCAAACTCAAAATCGTTTTAAAAATGAGAATCGTTTTAAAAATCAAATTCAAAATCGTTTTAAAAATGAGAATCGTTTTCAATTTCAATATGAAAATCGTTTTTTATTTAAATTTTAAAATCATTTTACAAATCAAATTCAAAATCGTTTTTATTTTGCGATTAATTGTATAATTAATTTTTTAATTCAAAATTTTCAGTGAAAATTTTGGTGAGCCATCTCGGCCGCCATACTCGTCGACGGTCAATGACAATACTTGGAACAAATATTTTACGAATATCACCCGTTGATAACAATAAGTATAACAATAACTATCAGGGACTCGGGAGGACGGAGAAGATCTCGTGTCCAGTCCACATACCCCAACACAACCTGGATCTCTCCTGTGTAACTACTGGCAGTAAACCCGTCAGCTCTTATTCTTTGTGTGGCATCGTCCATCATACTGGAGGTGAGTCAATACGGTCATTATACCGGAGGTTAGCCAATACGGTTATTATGCTGGAGGTTAGCCAATACGGTTATTACATGTATTGATCAGAACTTAGATGCTGGCTCGTTCCCAGTTTTACATTTTCATTTTCATTGGTGTTTCTCCTAAAAATTTCTAAGTCAACACGAAGTTAAACATTTCTCTGACAGCTGACTAATTGAGAGAACAAAAGAATCGTGAAATCGACCAAATATGCTTTCTTACTCTTAACTCATCTCAATTCAATGTTTAGGTATAGGTGGTGGTCACTACACATGCCAGTCTCTAACCGACGATACTTGGCGTTACTATAACGATACCATGGTAACCACAAGAGAGCCCCTCACCTCTGACGACGGTATCCCTGGAAACGATTCAGATGCTCGCTCTGCCTACGTGCTGTTGTACCGCCAGAACTGTGACTTACCGAACACTTAACAATAACCGCGCGCTCGCGCGACTGAGCACTTTTTATATGAATATCTTGCGCGGTGTTGTTCGTTTTACGCACGTTTGCTGAGGTTCGCTATGTTTTTATTGTAATTTATTGTACTTGACTTCAGGAGCTCTTCTGCAACTAGAACTTTTATTTTAAATTGTTCAAAATTAAATTTCCAATAAAAAACATCCCCACAAAACGTCCCCAACCATCAATCGCAATAGTATTAAAGACCCAATATAAAATAATATCATTTTTATTAGTATTGTAATACCTCGTATCATTGATTTTACAAAGAGTTTAAAAGAACTGTGCCAGTCTAACTATTAGATATTATCTCAGAAACGTATACTAGACCCTGGTCATTAGGAAAGTTCGCAGGAGATGGACCACGTTTTTCCCAATTTAACTTTAGAAGATTATCACAGCAAGAACTTCTAAGATAGGCATATGATATTTCACATGTCTATAGTTCAACTAATTGAGGTTCGATTAATACAATTTTTGAAGCATTTAGTCGAGGGCAAATTGAGGCTAACGAGTCATTTTAAATTTTGTATTCTAATGACAGCTTCCAATTTATTAATTATGTTATAATAGTTTAAACGTGTTCCCATATCCACAAAGTTGGCAAACCCAACAGATATCTGGGAGGAAATTTGTGAAGAATGAGGAAATTTTTGGCATGTGAGAGGAAATTTCTTGGTTAGCGACTGACAATTGCAGTCCGCAAAGAGCAGTTCAATCATTGGGTATCGAGAGGAAATTTGTCCTCTCTAAATGACTTAAAATTCGTGACATCTTTAATTTTAATTTGTCCAATGTTTTGAATCCAAAATATTACCGAGTGTCTAATCAACTACTTTGAACCTTCTCTATTGATATCCTATTGGTCTATCATATAATCCAGTTAAAAATTTTCCGGATGCTGCGCCCCTGCCTCCTTAAAATATAACTAATAACCAAGTGTCTAATCAACTGTTTTGAACCTTCTGTTTTGATATCCTATTGGTTAAGCATATAATGCAGTTAAAAATTTTCAGGGTTTGCGCCCCCTGCCCCCTTAAAATATTACTTATAACCACTTGTGTCTAATCAACTGTTTTGATCCTTCTGTATTGATATCCTATCGGTTTAGCAATAGCATATAATCCAGTTAAAATTTTCCGCGGGCTGCGCCCCCGAGCCCCTGCCGCAGTAGCCTCGGAGCCGGCGCTTCGCGCCGACTCCTCGCACGCCCCTGCTGGGAAAGTAACTTAGCCGCTGCAAGCGAAGCGAGCTGGCTACAGAAGGGTCTTTACCTGAGGACCCCATGTTCATTTATGTTCATTAACATAAATATAGATTTGGCGGAATGACAGGCTGAGCGCGGCCCAGTAAAAGGGTCTGAAAATGGGTTTGGGAGGAAATTTTTAATTATGTGGATATGGGAACGTGTTCAATCGATTCATCAGATCGAACTCTTTCAGAATCCGAAGAGAAGAGGGAATTTTTTCGCTAATCGAGGGGAAAATGAGGCTAAAAAGTCATCACTAAGTTATGAATTATATTTGAATTATAACGTCTATCAATGTATCCTCTGACTTAAAATTCGTGAGATGGATGCTCTAGGTCGAAGGCTGGCCAAGCAGACCCCTTTTTTCTTTCTAATGGAGGGGGAAATGAGGCTAACAAGTCATTACTAAGTTGTGAATTATATTTGAATAATAACGTATCCTCTGACCTAAAATACATGATACGGATGCGTTAGGTTGAAGGCTGGCCCAGCCGACCCCTTTTCTCCTTCTAATGGAGGGGGAAATGAGGCTAACAAGTCATTACTAAGTTGTGAATTATATTTGAATAATAATGTATATCCAAGTATCCTCTGACCTAAAATACATGATATGGATGCTCTAGCCCTAGGTTGAAAGCTGGCCCAGCCGTCCCCTTTTTTCTTCTAATTGAGGGGGAAATGAGGCTAACAGATCTTTTCTAATTTTTGAATTATGTTTGAACAATAAAGTCCTTTAAACTATCCTTTGCCCTGGTATACATGAGATGGATACTCTAGGTCGAAGGCTGGCCCAGCCATTTCCTTCTAATGGAGGGTAAAATGAGGCTAACAGATCTTTTCTGATTTTTGAATTATGTTTGAACAATAACGTCCTTTAAACTATCCTTTGCCCTGGTATACATTATATGGATACTTTAGGTCGATGGTAGACTCCACCTACCCTTTCTGTCTTTAATTGATGGAGGGTAAAATAAGGCTAACTATCAAGGTTTTGTTCATTTCTTGTTCTACTGCTTCTTCGGACTAGCCCTTCAATTTCAAATTGTTTCTGCCTAACCTGTATTCATTTGAGAGGTAAGATTAAGGCTTACTCCTGCTTATTATAATATTTTATAAGCGATAGTTTTAATGTTGAATGCTTTTATTTTCTTTCTATAATTCCACTTTTGACCTATATGACAGCCATTTATTATTTTCAAATTCGCACATTACAAAACTAATTGCACTGCTTTTTTAGAGCCCTCTCGCCAGCTGTACTACCATTAAGAGGTATTGAATTAAATATTGATATAAATCAACAACTTGACGTAGGTTTAATGTTTGTTAGTGCATAAATCAGATTGATTTTGCATCTTGGCAATAATTATGTTAAATCCCGCACAGATCTCTACACCAGTTAAATCAGAAGGAGGCAAATAGAGATCTGTAATAAGTAGTTTGTAGTAATATATACTCTTTACAACAGGGCCAATATTACTAGAAGTTGACACTCCGACATAAGGTCAAGCTGGTTGAGTAAAAAGATCACTAGTAGGAGCCACTATAGAGGCTAGGAAACTAGGTCGCTAGGGCAACCATCTGAGAGTAATCATTATTCATTGTTGATGTTCCCATAACTCTGCGCTACGAAAGAGTTGCTAGGTTACATTTAGCAGACACGGGGGTGTGTAATTCGTCTACTCCCTCCTTTGTTTATCAGTTTATCTGCCCGCTCAGCTTCTCCGCTTGAAAATGACTTTGAACATAACGTCAAGTATCAGTCTTAGGGACTCCAGGACCTGAAATCATAAACCACTGTTTAAATAGCTAAAGAATTTTAAATACGCGGTTACGATTTTGATGAATATATTACTTCATACTATTTACTACTTATTATTATACAATTATAGACCTATTGCATAAATAAATAATTAATGTTAGGCTGTTCTCTATCTAGTACAGGTTTAATTCCGTAATTCGATTCAATTAGTACGAATCCTTTAGAACTATTGTAGTTGTACTCATGGCCATGCAATTTATATCTTATTTATCGTATTTAAAGTCCGTTACGGCTATATACATTATACATATAATATGCATAGTTATACAGTGCAAACCGCGCCGGGTACTTTGCTGCTCGCCAAAATGCAAAAGCTTTATGGGCGCCTTCTTTAGGGGGGGGGGGGGGGGGGGGGGGGGGCAAAAAATGTAGCGGGGTTAGCACATCGGTACGTTTCGCCACTGACTAATAATATTGGGGATCCAGTAGCAGTCAGGGCATCAACCATTAAAATCAGCTGGGGCACAGTCTTGGTTAGGTTTTTTACTTTTCAGACTAAAATTAATATTACGTGCGTTGTAAATGTAAGTCATGAATCAAGAATCAAGATAACAGTGTTATCGACATTACAGATCACTCACTAGGAAAAGACATGACAATTATATTTTAAACGAATTCCCTGGATTTTCTACCCGTGAACTCGCTTCTTTGTGATAAACATGGAAATTTGAAGTATTTGGCACGCTATTGTCCAATATTGTCCATAAACCTATTAATAAGCCCCTTATTTAAAGATAATACAATTTGCACATTAGTCACGTCGAGGACGAAAGTTCCAAGTTTTGGGCAGTGATGAAGAATTCTGCAAGGGCTTACTGGATTGCTGGCTAAACACCACAAATGATGAGAAATATTGACACGTACTAATACTATGCTTCAATTAGCCTCAACATTGGCCGGACGACATTGATTGTCACTGTACGTGTCAGCTTCATAGTGGTCGGTTCACCCATCTGTAACCAGGTCACCGGCTCAAAAAACTTTGGTTAAATTGTCATTTATTATAGTTAAGTGTATGGTCTTAACATTCCATTTCAAAACGTCGATGTAACTTCTTTATCTCTTTTACTATATATATAAGCTAATGAAGAATCTACAAATTTTCTTGGCTCGTCTGCTCTTTTAGACAAAGAATCGAAAGGCGTAATATATAATATGATATATGTAATACTAATACGTATAGTCAAGACGTGAGTGTTAGGGCTCTCATTGACAAATTTATGTTTAATCCTGTTTAATCCTGTTTTATAATAACTTGTACGTTGTACGGCTCAGCATGCACCTTCTCCACTGGCCCGGTTACGATGATGGGTCGAGCAGTGTCTGACAAATAATAACATGCAATAATCGGCGTCAACTAACAAAGAAGTAACATCGATAAAGAAGTTAACATGCCTATGTAATATGCTGTCGTTTGAATTAGCATAGTTACGTTAGTTATTTAAAACTACATATTTTAAGCCATACCAAATTGTGACCTGTATTTTTAAGATCTAATGTATAAGTCGCATATTTTGGTTGTTGCATTGGCAGGGTATTACTATTAATATTAATTATTATGAAACCGAGAAAGTTCAAACTCTAGATCAGGCTAGCTCCTTTTAAATTGGACATTTTGCACAGAATTATTTGTTCGGTGTTTCAGCTGCACAGAATGACATTGAGCTAATGTTTAATTTCGTTTCACCTCTTGAGTTATTATAACTGTCTTTCTGAACAGGTTTAATGATTTCTAACCAGTGGTCTCAACCTTAAACGGTGGTAACACACATCAGAGTTGAGACACAGTTAATAAACTGCGGAGTGACTAAAATGCTATACAGCAAAAACAGAACGCTCCAACCAAACACTCCACCTACTGATCCTAACCACCCTAACAACTCTCTAGCTCTCTCTCTTCAACCCTCATTCCCTCACTCCTCTTGGTGCACAAAACCATTCTAACCTATGTATGTCCCCCCTAAGGGTTCCACAAGCCCAACGGTACATAGTTAGACGAAAAACAGAGAAGCCTTGATTGCCAGATCAAGGACTGCATCAGTAGCAGCGAAATACGGATATACCTTCTCCCTTACAGTCAGCGAGCTGACAACTATCTGACTGTGTCTTTTAGGCCTTGCCACACCACCTTCGCTATTGCATCCGCTCGCCCGTATTCACTGACACATGCCACACCTGGGTTTAGTATGAAGATGTACGCATATTCACCCAAGATGCGGAGATGCC